TCCTACCCACCTCCCACCTCCCCTCGACCCCCCCCCCCCCCCGCCCCCCCCCCCCCCCTCCCTCCCTCCCCCACACCATGCGGTCCGGACGGCACAAGCATATCACCGCGGCCAACCACGCGGTTGTGGGCACAAGCCGGACGTCGTCGTCGGTGGGCAGGCCGAGCGGTGGCCAGTCGGCGTCTCCGTTGGCCCACGACGCGCCTGCACTCTTCACGCCGCCACGGCTATCGTCCAACATCAACACCTCGCTGGCTTCTCGTCCTGCTGCTGTCCGTGCTTCGCTGCTGCCTACTGTGGGCAACAGCCCGGCTCTGGCGCCAGGCGTCGCCCCCCCGCCGTCTCCGGGCGCTGCCTCGGCTCTCTCCTCCGCCGCTGCCGCACACTCGGCGCTACCGGCCGTCCCCTCGCCCGATCGCCGCCGCTCGCCGGGCTCCTTTCGCTCGTCGCGGAGGAGCACCCCGCGCTACGCTCCGCGCTTCCCCTCCGCAAATCCACCGGGTGCTGGGCCAAAGCTCCCGCTCATCCGGATGCGCGGCGCGAGCGCGAGCGCCAGCGGTGGCTCTGGAGGCGCAACTGTTAGCGGCAGCCCCGGGAGTACCGATGCCCCTGTTCCACCCATCTCAGCCAATCCGTCCACGCCGCATCCGCCACAGGGCCGCGCGCGTGGCGAGGCCTCGCTCCGCAAGCGGTATGGCACCTCGCCCGGGAACGGCGGCGGCGGCGGCGACGAAGGCGCCCGCGGCGAGCAGGCGAGCGGCGTCGACCACGGCCCTGGCCTGAGCGAGGCCGTCGCGTCGGCAGGCGGTGCTATCGGCAGCAGCGAGGGGACCGGCATGACCCTCTCCAAGTCACGGTCGATCAACTCGAACACCGCCAGCCTCTCGGAGTGGGACTCGCACGGCGACATGCAAGAGCACTATGACGATGGCTACGGCGGCACTGGCGGCGCTGGCATCATCTCGCAGTTTGGCGTCCTTGCGCCACGCCGCGGCCTCGTCAACAACTTTCACCACTCGGAGATCGACTCGGGCCCCCTGCGGGCGTTCAACGCCATCGATGTCGACCGCATCACCGCCACCCTTGCGGCCGAGACCGTGGCGTCGTACAAAGTCGAGCTGGACTCGATCAAGGCTCTGCATGCCGAGATCAAGCACCTCCAGCGCCACATGACCGCCCTCCACAAGACCTACGGCAAGGTCTGCGGCGAGGTCTCGCTCAAGTGGACCAAGTCTCGGACGCAGGACCTCATCCAGCGGTACTCGTTCTCGTCCGACCCCTCGCAAGTCCGGGTCTCCAAAATGGCGCTCCTGGAGATCATTGCGTCCATGCTCGCCGCCATCGCCTACGCCACCGGCCGTGTCGCCGACCTCGGCATTTCGTCGCTGCCTGAGGCGCTGAGCAAGGCCGGGACGCTCGCGGACGGCACCGACTCGTTTGGGATTTTCTCCACTCTCGCGCCGCCGCCGGATCTGCGCTCCTCGCGCATCCGCCCGTTCTTTTCCATGCTCCGCAAGCTGCACATTCTTCGCCGCGCCCTCAAGACCTACCGCGAGCAGGAGGCCGAGACCGGATCGGCGCTTGCGTCGGCCTCGCGCACCGCCGAGCAACTCCGCGAGGAAAATCTGCTGCTCAAGCAGCTGCTGACCAACATGGCGTCGGCGTCGAACACCCCGCTCGAGCGGCTCATTCGCAAGACCCGCCAGGCTGCGACCGACGCAGGCTCGTCGCGGGTCGATCCCTCGCTCCTCAACCTCATCACCCCGTCGACCGCTGCCGACGACGGCGCCTCTCTCAACGGAACTCATCCGTCCGCGGCGGACGCGTCGGCCACCGAGCTGGAGGCCTCATCGCATGTCGCAGTCATCCGCGGCCTCAAGGCCGACAACGACGCGCTCACCACTGTCATCGACTCGCTCAAGCGCCAACTTGCGTCGTTTGAAGTTGAGTCGGCGACTCTCGCCGCCGAAGTCTCGGTCCTCCACAAGAAAATGTCGGCCGCGGGCCTAGAGCAGCCGTCGTCCTCAGGCTCGCGCTCGCCACGGTCCGAGTCGTTCCGCGAGACGCTCGCTGCGCTGCGGACCAGGCTCGTCGACGTGGAAACCGAGCGGGAGATCCTGCTCCGCCAGCTTCGCGGCGCCGCCACCGACGACTACAATGCGCTCGCGTCACAGCTGAAGGATGCCCAGGCCGAGGCTGCGTCGGCGCAGGCCACCATTGTCATGCTCAAGGACAAGCTAGCAAGCTCGCTCGCCATGACCGCGTCGGCCGTCGACCTCGCCGTGAGCGAGGCTGAGGCCGAGGCGCGCATCTCGGATGACCACGCGCACTCGTCGCGCGGCAAGCGCCGCAAGCATGGCTCCCACACCAAAGGCTCCGTCTCCAAGAGTCGCAAAAAGTCGACCAAGAAGACCCACTCGCGGCATCGCGGGAGCAGCAGCTCGCGCAAAGTTGCATCCAGCACCGCCCGCACTCGCAGGATGACTGCCGACTCGGAAGGCTCCAACGCCACCTCTGTCCCTGACATCTCCGAGTACCAGGCTGCGCTGGAGGAGGCACGCGCCCGCATCTCCGACCTCGAGGCGGCCAACCAGGGCCTCAAGGAGCAGCTCCTCATCGCGCAGTCAGACCGCGACGCCTTCAAGGCCAAATCGAACCGGCTCGAGGCCCAGGTCCAGAAGCTCGAGGCCAAGCTCGAGGCGCTGTCGACTGGCGGCAAGAAGACCAGTCGCAGCCGCGGCGCGTCCCGCCGCCGACCGTCGTCTCGTGCCTCGGTCTGCTCGGAAGCCTCAGACTTTTCCGACGTCGGCTCGGTCTCGTCGCTCGCCTCGGCCGGCTCGGACGAGTCGCGGGCCTCGCGCCGCGGGCGGCGCAAGAAAAAGGGCAAGGCCCGTAGCAACAGATCCGGCACCGTCGCAACGGCAAACCCGCCGGCGGCTCTGCCCCGATCCAACTCGGCCGAGTCGGTCCGCTCGACCTGCTCGACCCGCTCGACCCGCTCCACCGCGTCGCGCTCGGGACGTAAGAAGCGAAGGGCCAAGAAGAGCACCGATGGCTCCGGCTTGATCACTTCCGCTACGCTCACCGAGCTGGCTGCTGTTGAGGTCGAGAGCGTGCACTCCGACGCCGACGCCAGCACAGAACTTACGTCTGTCGTCGATGGCGGCGGTGCGTCGCGTCGCAGTCGTGGCGGCAAGTCCAAGCGGCGGCGCAAAAAGGGCAAGGGCCATCACAAGTAGCCTTGGGTTGAGTAGCGCTATTGAACATCACACCCGCCCTTTTTTGATAGATGGGTGCGGGGAAAATGTATTTTACTCGTCGTCGTCATCGTCGTCGTCGTCATCGTCGTCGTCGTCATCGTCGTCGTCGTCGTCGGCGTCGTCGTCGTCGTCATCGTCCTCATCATCGTCGTCGTCGTCATCGTTGTCTTCATCATCATCGTCGTCATCGTCGTCGTCGTCGTCGTCGGCGTCGTCCACATCCACATCCTCATCCTCGTCTGCATCCTGATCCTCATCCGCATCCTCGTCCGCATCCTCATCCGCATCCTCATCCGCATCCTCATCGTCAACGTCGTCAACGGGCTCGTCGGCGTCATCGTCAAGGTCAACGGGCACGGGATCTGCAGCGACGACGCCGGCCTTGGCCAGCGCGTGCTCACGGCGAATCGAATCTGCGCGGACGCGGGCGTCGCGCTGGATGGCAGCCTTTTCAGTGGCGACGATGCGCATTTCCTCGGCTTGACGGGCAGCGCGGCGCTCAGCGGCAGCTTCGCGCTCGATGCGGCGCTGCTCGCGCTCCTCGCGCATCCGCAGGTTCTGCTCGCGCTCGTCGGCCTCGCGGGCGGCGCGGCGCTCCTCACGCTTGGCAGCGAGTCCCAGCTGCAGCTCCTCGCGGCGCTGCTTCCAGCTCTTCTTGGTCTCCGACATGGCCTGCGCCCGCGCAGCCATCTCGCCGCGAATCGCCGCCCGCTTGGCGTTAATGTAGTAGCCGCGCACAATCGAGGCGCGCGAGAACGCCTCGGCCGCTTGCCCAAACTTGGACCGCGTCATCAGCTGGTCGGCTTGCGACGCGTACGCCCGCGCGTCGCGCTGCATCGCCTTCCAGTCTCCGTCCGCGTACGTCGGCACATCCACAATGAATCCAATCGACTCGTTTGACGCGTCCGAGTTGGCCCGCTCGCGCTTGTACGCCTTCTCGGCCGCGCTCATCTTGGCCGGCGCCACCACATCGGCGTCGGCGTCGGCCTCGACCTCCTCCTCCTCCTCGGCATCGGCATCGTCGTCAGCATAGTCGTCGTCGTCGTCAGCATCGGCATCGTCCGCCTCAGCCTCCTTTGACTCGTCGATCACAATCTCACCGTCGTCGTCGTCGTCGTCGTCGTCGTCGTCGTCGTCATCCTCATCCTCACCGTCGTCGTCGTCGTCGTCGTCGTCGTCGTCGTCGTCGTCATCCTCATCCTCATCCACATCGTCATCCTCGTCAACATCCTCGTCGTCATCCTCATCGTCGTCATCATCGACATCATCGTCGTCATCGTCGTCATCGTCGTCATCGTCGTCATCGTCGTCATCGTCGTCATCGTCGGCGCCGTCGTCGTCCTCCTCCTCCTCCTCTTCAAACTCAAACTCGGCCGGGTCGTCAAACTCCTCGCGCTCGAGCGCAAGCGCAAGTCCGGCGATAGGATGAGACACTACAGTATCAGCCAGCAGGCATGAGTCCTCTTCTCTCCCTCTGCCGCCTCCGCCCCAATCTCATGCCCAGCCAGGATCGGCCGTTCAGCCGAAAAAATCCTGATTCTGGCGAAAAACGAGCCTTTCGCAAGCAAGTCAGGCGCACGCTCAGCCTCCCCTCGCCTCCCCCTCCTCGCCACCATGGACGACAACAGCCCGCTAGCCTCCTGCTTCCACAGCATGTCATGCCCCATCTGCTACTCGGCGTCATGCGCTGTAGCCGTGCCCGCCTCTCTCACCAACATACTTTCTTTGTGACGCAGTGCAAGAGCAGAGTCAGGTGGACGCGAGTCTCGCCGGCACGACCGCATTGAAAGTTGCTTTTGGCTATGAATCGCAGCAGCTCTTGCACGCGGTGCGACCCTGCTCGGTAGCAGTGGTGAGCGGAATCGTCTGGTACGAGTTAAAATGGCCGGCCTGCATATGGTACTTGCCGGTCTTGCGCTTGGCGTCACGGACGTAGACCATGGGCTGGGCGTGCGGATCGGGGTCCCGCTCGCGGGAGCGTGAGCGCTCGCGAATGGCGGAGCTGGGGCGGCCGACAGCCTGCGGCGACTCGGATGGCCCGGCGCCACTCTCGTCGTTGGTGGTCGCCTCGAGGAGAGCCAGGCCGGCCTGGGAGATCGAAGACGAGAGGGCGACTGGCAGGATTTCTGGCCGGGCCGACCACGCCATCTGGGTGCCGACGTTGATGTCACGGGCGCCAAAGACCGGGAGGCCGAGACCGCGGCAAATGGCGTTGCACTTGTGAGTCTCGACAAAGTTGTCGATGCCCTCGGTGCCAAAGTTGCCCTTCCCAAAGTCGTTGCCGTCGACGGTGTGGATCTGCGGATCGGTGTAGTAGTCCTCGACGCCCTGGATGTCGACGATGACCAGCTTGCGACCCGAGCGCTCGTAGGTGTAGTGCGAGAAGGCTTGCGGCGTGTTGCGCGACTCGTCGAGCCACCCGGTGTTCGAGTTCTGTTTGCGGAACGGACCGCAGAGCATCGGCTCGCACGAGAAGAGCGGCATGCAATCGCGCTCGACAAGACGAAGGACCCATGTACGGACAAAAGTGACCTTCTTGGGAATGTTGGGCTCTGCGTTGTACGACGTTGCCCACAGCTGGCAGTACGACTGCAGACTCACGTCCTGGTAGTACATCTCGTCCGATGCCCGCTCGTGCGAGTAGTACCGCTTTCCCACAAACACGTCGCCGTTCTTGACGTTGACGATCTTGAACGCCTGCCGCATGCCGCCCTTCTGGAACGGCCGCGACGAGACAATGACCTCCATCTCCTGCGAGTGCCACTGCGAGCTCTCGGTGTAGTAGAGGTACGCCATGGCCTTCTCCGGCGAGCCCTCGGGCGGTCCCACGGGTGTTCCTGTCTTGTCCACCAGTCCAATCCGCTCGCCTGTCATAGATCCAGATGAGCTCGACGAGCTTGACGAGCTCATCTCGTCCTCTTCACACGGCGACGACGACGACGACAGCCCGGAGGCCTCGTCCGACAGCGACTCGGAGTCCGACATGGTGGGGGGTGGGGGTTGGGGGGTGGGGGTGGAGTGGCTGGAGATGAGGCTTGTGCGGGGTGGAGGGGGTGGAAGTGGGTGGTAGCCTGGTTGGTGCAGTGAGGGGAGGGAGGCGGAGGGTCTGGAGAAGGAAGGGGGTGGGGAGGGGGGGGAGAAGGTCGCCCGGGATCGATTGGGCGAGTGACACGTCGAGCCACGCCAGCCTTGCCAGCACTCTGCCCGGGCATCACCTTCCCGGATTGGAGCATGATGCGCGCTTTATGTCCATCGCATGATGGGCTTGCATAACAAGTCGTGGGTACACAATGGCTTGTTGCTTTCTCTGTCATCACTTCCAGCCCCAGCCGGCCCAGCCATACACCACAGCGCTGTGGAGCAGCGCCGCCTTCCAGCTCCGGGGATCCTCGTTGGGGGTGCCGGCCTTGGCCCCGCTGCGGGCGAGGGCGCGAAAGTCGGCAAGGACCCGGGCGAGCGGACGCGATGGTAGCGAGCGGAGGAGCGAGACGAGGAGAGCGTGGTTGGCGGGTACGCCGTGCTCCGCGCGTTGGTGACAACGCACGAGATGCCGGTGATGCGCAGTGCGAGTGCAGCGAGGTACGGCGACTTGAGAGCGCGCCGCTCAGCTGCCTTTGCTGTCCGCAGCAGCGCCTGCCGCTCGCGGAGAAGCGACTCTTCGGTTCGGACCTGGTCGAGCAGGATGGCCGCATGGAGCGATGAGAGGTTGAGTGAGAGCACTGCCGACAGCGGTAGGTACGAGAACATACTGCCAAGGCCCGAGTAGACAAACGCGCCATCGGCGTGTTGCACCAGCAGTCTCTGCCACTGCTCGACGCCGACACCGGCTTCATCGCCGAGGACGCCGGACCACGCCCGCGTCGTCTGCCCGTGGCTCGCCAAAGCCTCGCGCCAGCCGTCGCACATGACTGTCATCGCCACGTCAGTCCACCCGCCGCTGCTGCCGCTCTCGCCCGCCCGCGACACAGCCCGTGACGCTGCCCGCATCCCGGCCAGCCGCGGCGGCACGGCCGACTTGGGCGTCGCCGCCGGTACTGCTGGCGGACTCGAGTCACGCGCGGCAGCGGGCAGCAAGGCCTCGTGTACGTGGTGCTCGTTGAGTGGGTCGACAACATACGTCACCGAGTTTTTGTCGACACTCCCTCGCGGCCCGCCCGCCACACTGCCGCTCCGCCGCGATCCTGATGATCCTGTCGTTAGCCCAGCTCCGGCGCTGGTCTCGACCTCTGCGCCGAGGATCGGCGACCTCAGCGCCGCGAGCAAGAGCCCGACCGAGAACTCGCGTGCAACGCCGACGGTACCGAGTGCCGCCACCTCGTCGCAGAGGAGCGGGAGCGCGCTAAACACCGCCAACGCCTCCCATGGCAGCATCGACAGCGCCTCGGGCGCCAACACTACCACGCTCTCAAACGTCGAACACGTCCGATGGACGCACGCCTCGTGGACGGCAGCCACAAGACCGCTCTCCAGTGACCACGCGTTGAGCGCGTCAAGCAGCTCGCTCCACGCCTTTTCGTCGGCGGACGCCTGCGGGTTGCTTACCCGGCCGCTTGCCATCGCCCGCACAACCTTGATCGGGTCCACAACTGCAGCGGCAGGCGCTTTCTCGCCCTTGTCCGCTGCCGCACTGGGTGCGCTTGTCCGCGACCGACGGCTTCGCGAGGAGCCCGAGCCCCGCGCCGAGCCCGATGCACCCGAGGACTTGGCTACCGGCTCGGGCGCGGCCGCTGCCTCGCTCTGAGCCGGACCGGGCGTAGCCAGGTGGAACTCGTTGTCTTCCTTGAGAAGGCCACGCCGCAGATGTAAGTCGAGCGCGGCACATGCCTTTTCGGCCGCCAACAGCTGCGCGCCGCTCCGCTTGCTCCGCACCACCCTCGCCCGCGAGCCGCCGCCGGCGGCGGCGACCACCGAGTACAGCCAAACGCCGTCGAGCGAGCCGACATGCGCCACAACGAGCAAGCTGTTGCCGAGCGGCTCTAGCATCCGCGCCAGAGCATTGGCCGGCGGCCCAAACAAATCAAGGTTCTCGACCGAGAGCTCTAGCGCCCGCCACGACTCGCTCTGCCGCCCAAGTGCGGCCGCGACTGCATCGTGCTCGGCCAGCGGCGGAACAGTGCCGATCAGCGAGTGCTTCCGCTGTTCCTGCCGCTGCCGCAGCAGCATCGCGTTCGGGTCGCGGACGTCGGCAGCTGCCACTACAAGCTCTTCGGCCTGCATCCGCACCTCGACGCACTGCGCGAGGAGGCAAAACAGGGCACACGCCTCCGGATCAAGCACGCCATGCAGATGCACAAGGTGGAGGCACGCCTCGCGCGCAACCTCCCATGCTTCCGCCGCCAGCGCGCCCACCACGGCAAGCTTGAGGTACTGAGCGGCCTGGTCGACCAGGTACAGGTGTTCCTGCTCGCGAGCGAGGACACGAATCGACGCGTCCATCTTACGTACCACGCGGCGGCCATTGCTGTCGACAGGATCGTCGTCATCGTCGTCGTCATTGTCGTCGTCGTCGCCATCGTCGCCTTCGTCGCCTTCGTCGTCGTTGTCGTCATCTTCGTCGTCATCAGCATCGTCGTCGTCGCCGTCGCCGTCGCCGTCATCAGACTGCTCTTCGCTCTCGTCAGCTGACGAGTTCGAGCTCGAGCGGTCGAGATCCGACTCGTCGTCGTCGTCCGACTCGGGCTCGCCCCACTGAAGGATGAGGTAGCCGCGGCGGACAGCAATGTCAAGTAGGGTGCGACCGAGGCAGAGAGCAGCGCGCGAGGCGAGGCCCGGGACCGGCGCCAGGTTGTATGCCGACGACATGTGGATGAGTGCCCGCTCCTGGGCCGGCAGGATCTGCTCGGGCGTCTCGAGCTCCATCGTCTCAAGCAAGTACTTTGCGACCACCGTCGGAAAGTCGGCGTACGCGTCTTCGGGCGATGGGCGAAGGCCGACAATGGACACGAGCGTCTTGCCGAGAGCGAGCTTGAGCTCGGCCAGCGCGCGGGCGGCCGGGAGCGAGACCCGGACCGCGAGCGGACCGCTGGCCTGGACCGAGACCGCGGCGTACCACGCCGCTGCCTGAGCCTCGGCCTCCTCCAGCACCTTGCCAACGGCCTCAAACTGGCCAAGGCTCGTCCCCGACTTGAGCTGCAGCACCTGCGCATACTCGACAAGCGTGTGTGCGAGGAGCGCATGCGCACCGCCGAGCGCCTTGAGCAGGACAACTGCGTCGTCAAAGGCGGCAAGTGCAGCATCGAGCCGGGCCGGGTCTGGCGAGCCCGAGTCGGCAGTGAGCGCAGCGGCGAGGTGGACTCTGCCCTCGTGCCGGCGGACAAGCGCAATGGCGGTGTCAAGGAGGGCCTTTCCGGCTTGGACGCCCCGTGAGGCCTCGGTGAGGATGTCGACGGTCTCGCCGAGAATGGCGAGCGCTTCGGCAAACCGCGGCGACGGGGCGGCCTCGCATAGCAAGTCTGCCAGCAGCGTCGAGTTGTCCAGCCAGAACTTGGCTGTACCAGCCGTGCCGCGAGCAAGCATCGCGTACTCGATACCCTGGTCGATAAAGTCGGAGGCGACGCCGTCTTCCTTGTCGGCAGTCTTGAGCTGGGTCCGGGCGTTTGGGCCCGAGCCGCAGGTGCCGAGGATGCGGGCACGGGCGAGGGCAACGCGGGCAAGCCCATTGTAGGCGAGCCCAAGCACAAGCTCGTCCCCAAAGGCGCGAGCGTGATCGAGGGCAGCGTTGTAGAGCGGGACCGCAAGGTCGTACGCACCATCGCTGGCAAGCGAGTCGCCCTTGAGCACCCACACCGACCGCATCGGCGTGACCGGCTCGAGCTCAAGGAGCGTGCGGTTTGTGCTAGCGCTGACGACGTCTCCCGTCTTGCGGCTCGACGACTTGAGGACCGAGTGCAATGGGCGGGTCTCGGCAAACTTGCGGAGCTCGCGCTCCTGGTGGATGACGTCGGCGTGCTCCATCTTGACTGCGTTGTCGAGTGCGAGCTGCACCGGCCGGATCCGGAGATCGGCGGCAAGGTCTGCGAGATTGAGCGTCTCCAGCTGCTTGGCAAGCCGCTGGCGGTTCCACTGCAGGTACGCCCGCGACTCGCCAGCAACAGAGCCGAGGAGGTGGACGAGATGGATGAGCGGGAGCACGTGGAACGAGTATCCAGCCTGCTCCAGAAACTCGATGAGCGCGTTGATGTAGTACAACGTCAGCTGCGGCGCAGCAATAGGCAGCGCAGCGTGCGCGGAGGCGTCTGCTGGCGAGGCGGCGCTGTTGCCGTCGGCAGCGGTGGCGGCCTCGTCGAGCGAGACGAGCGAGTCGCCGGCAGCCAGGCCGCTCGCACCCCCGGGGGCAGAGCCCACGTCAGCGAGGACCGCGGCGGCGGCAGTGAGCGCATCTGCAAACTCACTGGCGAGCGGCGCGGTGAGCCAACCGTAGACCGAGTCGGGAAGTCCAAACTTGTCGAGCGCTGTGCAAAGTGCGTCGTAGGCTTCCGAAGCGGCTGCGGCTGCAGTGGCGTCGGGCGCAAACGACGAGGTCGACGCCGTGGCTTCGAGGGCAGCACGGCGGGAGTTGCGAGCCTTTGCCTTTGTCTTTTCGCGCTCCTTGTCCTTGTCCTTTGACTTGGCCTTTGCCTTTTCCTTGGGCGGCTCCGACTCGGCAGCCTCGACGCGGTCGGCCGAGTCGGATGGGGCAAGCTGCGGGTAGGCGGCAACGAGGGCCTCGAGGAGCGCGCGGGCGTGGTCGGCGGCGGCGGCATAGAGCTGCTCGAAAAAGTGCTGCGCCATGAGCGCAAAGTCGACAGCGGCGGCGGCATCGGTGCTCACAATGTGGAGCATAGTGTGGATGCGGCCGAGGATCTCGAGCTGCGAGGCCGAGAGCTTGGGTGGAACGCGGGCTTGCTGGCTCTCGGACTTGGCGCCACTCGAGCCGAGTCGGAACAGATGCAGCTCTGCCACCGAGTTGCGTCGCGCACGCTGCTCGTCAGAGACCAAGTCGAGCAAGAGGTCGGCCGCCTCCTCCAGCACGTCAGTGATATCGAGGCCGTCCGCGTGCGTCTCGTACAGAAACTGAGCAAACTCGACCAAGATGTCGACCTTGCGCCACGGCTCTCGCTCAAAGACCTCAATGGCCTTGTGGTAAGCGGCCATGCGGGCGGCAGGCTGCGAGGCCGCCCGCGCGAGGGTCAGCCAGATCTGGGCCTGAATGGTTGGATCGAGGTCGATGATCTTGGAGAGTTCTGGCCGCAAGTCCTTGCCAGACTTGGACTTGAAAAGAATGCGCTCGCGCCAGATGAGGTCGTGGAACTTGACCGAGACAGTTGAGAGGTAGACGGCGACGGCCGAGAGTCCGTCGTCCCACATCCCGAGCCGGGCGTAGCACTCAAACGAGAGGCGAAAGAGTGAGACAACTAGCTGCAACGACGCGATGCTGCGGTCAAAGGCAAGGAGCGAGTTGATGACCTCCTGAAGCTGCGGGAGAAGGACCCGGACAAGCGAGAGCGAGGTGACAAAGGCCGGCACAAGGTTCCAAAAGTGTGTGGCGGCGGTGAGGACCGTGTCAAGGTTGGCGTGGGCCTTGCCGAGCCTCGCAGCGGCCACAAACTGCTCGAGCGCAAAGGTCCGCGCCCGATTCTGCCGCGACAGCCGATGGCGTGGTGAGATGAGGCCAAGCGTGGCCTCGCCCATGACCATATGGGCGAGCGCGACGAGCGCCGGTGCGCCGTCGCTGCCCAGCAGAAGCACCAGGCCACGCCGGGCAGCAAGGAGGGAAATCGGATAGGCTGTGAGGTCAAGAGCGGCACGGGCGGCGCGGACGTAGAGCTGACCCACCAGCGCGGGCGGCGGGAGCGGTGCGGGGCCGCGCGGCGGACCAGGACTAGGCGAGCTCGCTGCCCGCGACTTGGGCCGCCCGCCACTGGGTGATGGCGCGATGCTTGCTGCCGACGTGTCGAGGCCGGGCGGGCCCGAGGCGCCACCGAGGAGCGAGACCTCGTGGAGCGCCGTGAGCGCCGAGCGGAGGACCGAGGCATGCTCGTCGACCGACGATGGGTAGTTGAGTGTCTCGACGGCGGCGATGACCGGGAGCAACGGGTGACTGTTGGGTGCTCGAGCGTCGACAAGCGGCTCGTTGGAGCTTGCTAGCCGGCGAGCAACAACGAGCGAAGAGAGCAATGTTTGCGCGTCCTCGACAGCGGCAACAGGCATGTTTGCGCGGAGGAGAGTCCGCGCCACGTCCACGTACGTCTTGGATGCGGGAAGAAATGCAGAGAGCGAGGTGGCGAGAGAGACGGGCAGAGCGTCGGCGAGCGGCGCAGCAGCAAGACCGACCGAGGCAAAGAGCGCATGGGCGAGAGCGTTGGAGATGTCGTGGAAGAGTCGCGGCTCGGGCGCGCGGAGCCAGGGTCGCGACGCAATGCGCCGGGCAAGCGGCGACGACGGGAGGGTCATGACGCCGAGCCCGGCGTAGGCCACGTAGAGCGGGCGGACGAGGACGTGCAGCTGCGCAAAGAGAAGGCCGACAGCCTGCGGCGGTGTGTTTGTCGAGCCCGCCAGGAAAGGCAGCAGGTCAAGGCCACGGACCGAATATCCGAGGGTGTCGGCCGCCGGCGGCTGGTCGAGCGAGGACGACGAGTGAGTGGCGCTTGTAGGGTGAGGTGTGCTGGCCTGTGGCTGGCTCGACAGCACCGACGACGCGCTCGAAAACGGGTCCATGATGCCAGCGAGTGAAGGGAGGCGCGGGGGCGGGTCTGAGTCCGGCCCACCCCAGTAGGGCACGTCCTTGGCGAGGAGGGCGAGGACCGGGTCGAGGACCGAGGCGAGCATGCGGCGGGCTTCGAGCGGCGGCGGCGGCGAGTCGCGGGCGATGGACTCGGCGCGGGAAAAGAGCTTGGCAGCGGCGTCAAAAATCGGGAGAAAGTGGTTCCAGAGGTAGATGGCGGCATTCGAGGCTACAACCGGGTCGCCGAGCACAATGCCGATGTGGGTGGCAAAGGTGAGCGAAGCAACAATCTCGTCGCGGAAGGTGACAAGCCGGGCGAGCTGGGTGAGGTCGGCCGAGGCGAGGACCGACGCAGTTCGCGACGCAATACCGGTGAGGACTGGCTTGGCCGACGGCGAGTCGCCAGGCGAGACCTCGAGGGCGAGAATGTCGCGGGCGGTGACTCGGAAGGAAGCCTCTAGCAGGGCGATGGCAGCCTCGACCAGGATGCAATAGACGGCGGCGCGCTGGCGGAGCGCGTCCTCCTCCTGAAGGGTAACCGGGCGGGCGACTGGGGTTACCGGCGGGCGCGGTGCTGGCCCGACCACGCTCGCCGCAGGCATCAGTGCCGAAGGCGGCGAGTGGCTGGCAGCGGACGAGGCCGACTGCTTGGAGCTGGCGCGGGCCGGCGATGCGGTCTGGCTCGGAGCCTGCGGTGTCCGGCCCGACGAGCCAGGGCGCGCCGGAGGCGGCGTGGCGAGTGAGGTGGCGAGCGAGAGCTCGGGCGCCGGGACCAGGACAGGCGCCAACGCGGCGTCGAGCTCGGTTGCTGACGCGGTGAGTCTCACCGGGATCGGGAGGTGTGACGACGAATCGTGGAGGGCATCGTCCGAAGCCGAGCGGAGGGCCGCAGCAGCGCGGGCCGATGAGCGCGACGGCGAGGCCGGCGACGGTGCAGCGTCGCGGCTCGGGGCCGCAGCGGTGCGCGAGGCAAGTGGGAGAGCAAGGTCTGCGGCGGTGACCGGCTCAGGAAGGAGGGCCACGTGGCGGGCGAGCGCAGCCGAGGAGACCTCCCCGGCGAGCTTGAGGTAAGCTTTGGCGGCGTCATAGGCGGCCTGATGGAGGTGCGAGGCGCGGGCGGTCTTTGCGAGATTGCCCCAGAGCGCTAGGGTGTGGTGGAGGTCAGGCGAGTCGTGGTCGGGCCGAAAGTCGGAGAGGCACTGCATGGCCGAGAGGAGGATGTTGGAGGCGAGGGTGGGGTCGCGGGTGAGAAGCGCCTGCTCATGGAGGAGGGTGGCTTCGTCGAGCGGCGACGAGACCTTATCGTAGATGTTGGTGCGGAGGCGGAGCTTGTGGGCCAGCGGGTTGAGGATGCGCGAAGCATGTCGGTCGACGAGGTCTGCGGCCAGGCCTTTGGCGACGTGCTTGGCGGCCTTGGAGAGCATGTCGTCGGCAATCTCACAGTGTGCAAGCTCCGTGTGAAGGTCAGACATGAGGGTGCGAAGCGGCGAGGAGATGCGCGCGAGAGCGGTGGCGGCGAGGTGCATGGGGCGATGAGCGAGGTGGCGAAGGTTCGGTTGCAGGAGCGGCAGCACAAGGTTCCAGATGCAGACCGCGCCGGCCTCGATGATGCCTGCGTTGCCGAGGCGGGTAGCCGAGTGCAGCGCCTGCTCGAGCATGCGAAGTGACTCGACGCGGGTCTCAACCATGTCCTTGGAAAAGGCAAACTGAGCCGGGCCCATGTCGGCGACACGAAGCATGGCGAGCGAGTACTCGGATTGGATACGGGCGCCGAGGTTGCGCGACTGGTGGGCGGCGGCGGCGGCGACACGGCCGACGTGCAGGTCGCCGTAGAAGACGGCGAGGAGACCAACTTCGCCGAGGAGTACCTGGCCAGGGAACGAGAGCGAGGACGGGACGGTCGGCCACTCGGAGGTCGGTGCGGCGGGCGGCGGAATGGGCGCGCCTACCAGGAGAGAAAACGCTTCGTGGAGGAGCTTGAGGCTGGCGCGCGGCTCGGGCGAGGACATGACGAGCTCGACGCGGGCGAGGGCCTTGAGGACGGCGGGTGTCGACGGCGAGGCCGTGAGCCATGACGAAGCGGCCGAGGAAGTAGCAGACTTTTCCAGGTTGGCAGCGGCCGACGGCGGCGAGAGCTCGATCTGGGTGCGGTAAATGAGCCTGCAGAGCTCGAGAACCGGAGTGTCTGGGACGGTGGCCGACGGTGAATCTTGGCGGCCGTGCTTGGTCGCAGCACGCTTGGGTGGGGTGGCGGCCCGGGCAGCCCGCCCTGTGCGTTGGCCGCGGGCTGACGACGAGCGGGCGAGCGACGGAGTCGACGGCGGCGAGCCAGACTTGGAGAGAATGGCGGCGCGCTCAGTGGCGGCGGCCTTGTCGGCGAGAGCGGCGGCGCGCGAGAGGGTGTGCAGGGCGGCGGCGCGGTCGTTGTTGTCCTCGTGGCAGAGGGCGAGGAGGTGCATGAGGCGGGCGCGCCAGGCGAGATCGGGCTCGTCAACAGCGTCGAGGCCCTCGACGATGTGTGCGGCGGAGGGGAGGAGCAGGTGGCGGAAGCCCGGGACCACAAGCGGGCGGGCGAGTCGCCACCAGTAGACCGAGCCGTTGTAGAGGAGAAAGTGGTAGCGGGGCGAGGTGAGGCCAAGGTCAAAGCCCTTGACGACCGAAGCGAGGCCCGATAAAACGGTGAGCGAAAGGCGCTCGCCATGGATGGGCTCATCCACCGCCGGAACAACCAGCAGCTCGCCCTGGAGAAAGTGTGCCTTGGCCAGAAACTTGTTGGTGGGCGGATCCGACTGAAAGTAGGTGAGGAGGCATGACTGAGCATGCGCATACTCACCAAAGGCGATGTACAGCCCTGCAGCCTCGACAAAGACATCCAACGCAATGCTCGGCCTCAGTGCATGGGTGGCAGCAGCAGCAGCAGCCGCCGCCGCCGCCGCAGCAGCAGCAGCAGCCGTGCTACCTCCACCGCCTGCACCTGGACCACGAGCAGCACGAGCAGCACGAGCAGCAGGCAAGCCATCCAGAGCACCGACCTTCTCCTGAGTGGTGTTTGCAGCAGCCGAATGCGGGTTGCCCGCCGCAGCCGTTGCCGTCAGTGTCTCTCCCGTGGGCGGCAGGGGGAGGGAGATAGACGAGGGCGCGACCAGGAGCAAGGGAGTGATAAGGGTGTTGAGCTCGGAGAGGGAGGCAGGAGACCGGTCGGGGGTGGGGATAGTGGCAAGCGAGGCAAGGAGGCCCCGTAGCCTCCGCTCTACAGACATGGATATGTGTATGTATGTGTGTGTGTGTGTATGTGTGTGTGTGTGTGTGTGTGCGAGTGTGTGTAGTGTGTGTGGTTGTGTGTGGTTGGTGGGTGGAGTGGAGAGGGTGCGGGTGCGGTGGTGGTGGTGGTGGTCTGGCGCCAAGTGGTTCTGGGCCGGGGGCAGGGGGGGA